GGCAGGAGGTGGTTTGGTGGGCTTTTTAGCTGTCAAGCCAAGCCGACCAACTGAGGCTCACGGGAATGCTGTGAGTAAACTATGACTAACAGGTGCTTCAATGATAAGAGGGCCACCAGATGCTTCTTGCTTCAGCTTGTTCAGCGTGTGCAGGCACAGGCTACGCTTGCTTTGGTGGATGAAGGACAATTGCAAGAACGCACCTGAATGAAAAACCAGGCCCCAAAAATGGAGGCGACCGCGCTGAGGGCCATCCTGAGGCCGGCGTCAATTGTGGCCACGTGGGGCAGCACGCCCCTCACGGCAGAGGCTGGGGGTTTGTAGGGCAGGGTGGGGCCGGGAAGGGTGTTGGGGGTGAAGCTGCTGGGTTAAGGGCGCCGCGGGCGCAAAGGTGATGGGTTTGAACTCTGAGACTCAAGTGGGTGTCGTCGTCGCAGTCAAGTGAGGTAGAATTGCGGGCAGCGGCGCTGCCCAGTCGCTGCGAGGCGCCGCAAAAGTGCAGAGGCCGCCGCTTTGCCTTCAAGCTGTCCGTCGTTGGGGGCCGGCGAGCTGGTTACCAGGGACTGGAGGCCACGGTCGATGCCTTTATCGCAACATGGTGCGGTGCACCACACACAAACACACGCACCCACACATCGATGCACACACACGCACACACACACACATACGCACACACGCACATGCAGACACACACGCACACGCACACGCACACGCACACGCACACGCTCACGCACACGCACACCCACACACCCACACACCCACACACCCACACACCCACACACACACACACACACGCTCGCACCTAAGAGGAGTGGCAGGTCCCTCTCGAGCTTTAGAGACAGCGCCAGATCCAGTATGCCCAGCGCTGACCTGGCCAGGTAGATGAAGACCAGGGGCGGCAGCATGTAGGACGCCGGCTTGCGCAGCGACAGCAGCAGCAGGCCGACCAGGGTTGCCCTGTTGGGGGCAAGCAGGGGCAGGGGTTTCGGGCTTGATTCAGCTCATTCATTGGCCTTGGCTCAGCCTCGGATCGATATGGCGCAACTTTGGGCAGGTGGACGAGCGGAGAGACGCACGCCAAGCGTGTGCTACGACACGCCCGCATGGAAGGCTGCGTATGGGGCAGATGGCCAGGTGCAAGCAGCGCCGTTTGTTGCGGGTGCAGCTGTCGCCACCGACGTTTTACAAATGTTTGGGCGGCCCACCTGTTGCCGAGCTCGTCCATCAGGCTGCCGTCGCCCGCCATGCGTGCGTCAATGCCCTGAGCATTGCAGCATTTGCGGGTCGTTGACCGACGGTGGGCCACATTGGGTGGGCGGCGGTGGCGCGCAGGGCTGCCAAGGCCATGCGGTTGCTGGGCAGGTGGGCCGCGACGGCCTGCAGGGCTGCTGACTGGCTGGATTTTGCATTGGAAATCACACCGTTTCAACTTGTCCAGCACGCAAGCTGAAGCGCTACAAGCCCCTGGCGTAACGCTGCACCCCTCTGGAGCATGCGAACTCGGCTGGACGCTGCATGCATTTCCGCCCACACCCACCATCCCCCCCCCCCCCACGGACCAAGCCCGATCTGCTGCTGCAGCAGCTGACCCCATGCCCACCTTCTTCAACCTCGTCGCCAGCCAGTCCAGGAGCTTGAATGCTATCCACAATTCCATAATTGGTACCGCCATGTCGAGCGCGATGCGGAAACCAACCAGGGACCAGGGGTCCCGCCCCACCGCCGAGGCCGCCGCCGCCGCCGCCGCCAGGGTGGGCGCGAGCACCGGCGCCTGCGCGGTCACCGCCGAGGGCGTCGCTCCAGAGGGGCGCGGCCGCTGCCCTGGGCTCGGGCGCGCGGGCGCGGCCGGGGAGGCGCGAGTCACGGGGCGCCTGTGGCAGGGCGGTGACGCCGCCGCCGCAAACGCGTCGCGCAGGCCTCGAGGGCGCTGCGCTGGCTGAAAGGCTATTGCGCTGCGTCCTACAAGGCTTTTCATCACTGTTGGCAGAGTTGTGGCGAACGTAGATCGACGAAAGGCGATCTAGCGTTACGCAGCCCCACGCTGCACGAGGAACACTTTTACTAGCTGACCGTGATTATCTGGGTCGTGTTGCTTTAGGAGACCGAGTACAATGCTTCTCGAAAGCCCTTGACCAATGGTGATGTGCGTCGTGCGTGATGACTCATTTTGCAGAAGTGATTGTGACGGAAGCAAGTCAAAGCGCGACAGTAAATTTAGAAACCCAGCGCTAATCTTTTTGGTGCCGTAAGCCACATCCGTCGTTGCTGCACCCGGACAACACGCATCATTGCAGTCCTCACTATAATTGAAACGCGTGTGATTAGCCTTAATGTTATCTGACTCATCTCCTGTCAATGAATCTTGAAGCCGCAAACCGCCTGGGAGGGGTTCTTGGCTTGCTGAGTTGCTATGTAGCACACAATAATCACTGAAAAGAAGACGAGTGTTTGATATTCATGAACGGCGCTGTCGCTGCTGGTGTGAGAGTGCCCAGACACGCGCGCGACACTGCACCCTTGCTGATGCTCTGCCTCCGCTCGTTGCAGCAGCACCCCCAGCGGCCCTGCCCAGAAGCCTCGCCCTCCCAAACTCAATTGGCGTCACGCAGCCACACAATGCATGACCTCAGCTTCAGTGGCGGCGGCGGCAGCAGGGACGGCAGCGGCCCGGCGGAGCAAGAGGACCGCTCGCCTGACGAGACAGCCGACACACTGCGTGCCAGAATCCGCGCGCGAGCGCCGGTGTTCAGGTGGAGCGACACTCATGGCGGCTGGCCGCGCGGCTGCTATGTGTTGTCGCAACAGAATCGGGACCCATCAATTTGAATCAGCTGCGCTTTCACCTTTGTATACGTGCCTGGTGTGCCACACGCAGGTGGGATGACGACCCACGGGTGCAGCTGGCGGCAGATGTCCCGAAAGCCTTGCTCGAGCCGGAGGACCGCAGCGGCGCACCAGGGCCCCTCAGTGAGCCGCATGCCCGTGCATCAGTGATGGGTTGCACCCCCCTGCCAAACATGAACAAGCAACGGCAGCATCGCCATTGATGCGTGCCAAGCACACCCGGGGCGCAGTCAAGTTGCGTTTCTCTGCCCGCCAACGCATGCTGCGCCTGGCCCGATACCTCCCTTGGCCCGACAACCCCCCTCCCTCAAAGTTTGGCCGGAGCTCCTGGCTAGGGCTGCTGGGTCCAAAAGCCACCTAGCGGCGGCAGCCGCGTCCTTTGCGCCCCAGGAGCTGCCGCCGCTCGACAGCTGCCGTTTGCAGCAGCCGCCGGGGCCGCCGGCGCCCTGGAAAGCGGGCGTGCTGACGGACCGGGCGCGGGCGGCGTACGCGAGCACCATCGCCCAGGGTGCGGTCACCGCCAGGGCGCGCCTTCAGGGCGACCCCAACACCGCCACAGGGGACGCCGAGGGCGGCGGCGGCGGCGCCTGCAACGGCGGCGGCGGCGGCGGCGACGGCTTCCTGCACGCGCATGTGCGCCTGGCGGCGGGGTGGCCGCGCTCACACGCAGGCCCGTTTGGCAGCGGCGGCGCCCCCAGCGCGCGCCGCCCGGCCAGCTGGGGGGCAGTCAGCCCGCGGCCCTTCAGGTTTGGTGCCTGGTACCTGCCGACCAGGGAGTGGCGAGTGACGACCGATGACGTCAGCACTTGGGAGCGGGCGTCCAGCCACTTGGAGCAGGCGGCTGCGCTGCGCCAAGATGGCCCCGCCGGTGGGGCTCGCGCCTCGGCGGG